TATAGAAGAATGCCATTTGGACTTTGCAATGCACCGGGCACGTTTCAAAGGTGTATGTTATCCATCTTTAGTGATTTACTAGAAAATGGGATTGAGGTGTTTATGGATGATTTCACCATCTATGGAAATAATTTTGATGAATGCTTAGTGAATTTGGAAAAAGCTCTATCTAAATATATTGAAAAGAATTTTATCTTGAATTTTGAAAAGTGTCACTTTATGGTACAACAAGGAATAGTTCTAGGTCACCTAATTTCTGAAAAGGGAATAGAGGTAGACAAGGCAAAAATTGAGGTAATCTCATCTCTACCCTATCCAACAAATCTTAAGGAACTTAGATCTTTTTTAGGCCATGCTAGATTTTATCAAAGGTTCATAAAGGACTTTAGTAAAGTGGCTTTTCCAATGTCTAAACACTACTACAAATTAGGGAATACTTGACGCTAAATATTTGACGGTTATCATAAAAACCGTCAAATATAATCCCCCGAAAGAAAACTTGACCGTTTCTAAAGAAACCGTCAATTTTAGTAGAACAATATTTGACGGTTTCAAAGAAACCGTCAAGTATTCCAAAAATACTTGACGGTTATAAAATAACCGTCAAGTATATTAAAGGTAAAATTGACGATTTTAAATAAAAACCGTCAAGTTTAGTAATACTTGACGGTTTTGATTTAAAACCGTCAAATATTATTGGAGAATACTTGACGGTTATTAATAGAAACCATCAAGTATTGTGCTTAAAAACCCGTCACTTTCCCCTGTTCAGTCTCTTCAGTTCAAAATTTCTAGTGCCCCCTCTGCTTTGGACTCTCTAAGCCACCGTACCCACCTCTGTTTCGGCCGTTCCCTTTTGCTTTTTTTGCCCGTCCTTGCTCGTCCTCCATCATCGTCCCTCTCGGTGTCCTCCATTATCGGTGCGGCATCCTCCTGCTTTGTCATTGTGCGTGCATTCTCCCAATTGCGCCCCCTTCCGCTTCGGACTCTCTAAGCCGCCGTACCCACCTCTGTTTCGGCCGTTCCCTTTTGCTTTTTTTGCCCGTCCTTGCTTGTCCTCCATCATCGTCCCTCTCGGTGTCCTCCATTATCATTGCGGCATCCTCCTGCTTCGTCGTTGTCGTGCATTCTCCAGATTGTCATTTCGGCTTCAGGTTGGTAATGCTTCACTCGCTCCCCTTATTTCCTTTAGTTCTTCATTTGAGAAATGATTGTAGTGGAAAGGGAATGATAGGATAATGCTAGGACCGTTCACCATGCACACACGGAAAATGGGTTTGCTATTTGGCCGAATGGGTTTTTTTTTTCTGTTCTTGATTCTAAATGGGTGTTTCGCATTTTGATCAGTTTGGGTTTAGGGTGTTTTAGTTTTTTGTTTTCGCGATAAAGTCTAGGGAATGCAATGCTAATGTTTCAATTTTTGTTTTTGTAATTGAAATTGACTATGTGCTGGTTTGGTTTTCTGCCATAAAGCCTAGGGAATTCTAAGTTATAAGTCGTTATGCTGTCAAATTTTTTTCAAATGGAATAACACATTAGTAGTAGTAGAATATTTTTCAAACTGAAATGAAAGTAAATTTTTGTTGAATTACTAGTTGCTAACAACTAGTAGTTGTTAGCAAGTAGAATTAAAGAGGGATAAATGTGATCAATAGTGACTCATGTGTTGACTTTCTATTTTTGTTTAATTCTCATAATATCTTTGAGTCACTGATCACATTTTCCTCTAAATGATTCATCTTAGTCGGGGACCATGGGCAAAGAATGGATGTCCGCCAATCGTCTATCAAAAGAATATTGGGATGGGGTAGAAGATTTTATTAAGTTTGCGATTGAGCACGCCGATGATCGCAACAGGATTACTTTCCCCTGTCTTAAAGTGTTGCCTTTTGAAGTGGGTTTCACCATCCGATTGTGAGAGCCACTTAATTATCAATGGAATTGATCAAAGTTACAAGTGTTGGACAAAGCACGGAGAGACAAGAGATGTGAGTAATAGTAGTCGAGGGCATAGTGAAAGCTGTGGATCATCTAATCTTGACATGAGTACATGTGAAGCTGATCGTCTTGAAGAGATGACAGATGCGATTGAACGGGAACTTGACGATTGTCCTGAAATGTTTGATAGATTGAAGTGTGATGCTAAGACACCTCTATATGAAGGTTGTACTGATTTCACAAAATTGTTTGCAGTGTTGAAACTGTATAATTTGAAAGTAAGAAATGGGTGGAGCGACACAGGCTTCACAGAACTGCTGTTGCTTGTTAAACAAATGCTACCGAAAGAAAATGAGCTTCCAAGTAAAACGTATGATGCAAAGTAAGTGTTGCGCTCTGTCGGCCTCAGCTATGAGAAGATACATGCTTGCCCCAATGATTGCATTTTGTTTAGGAAGGAGTATAAGTCACTAACTGAGTGTCCTAAGTGTAATGCATCATGCTACCAAGAGAATGGGAAGAGCCTGAAGAAGGCATTATGGTATTTTCCCATAGTGCCAAGATTCAAACGCTTGTATAGTAATGTAGAAGATGCGAAAAATTTAAGGTGGCATGTAGATGAAAGGGTTAAAGATGGCATGCTTCGCCATCCTGCTAATTCTCCAGAATGGAAGAAGTTTGATATTGAGTATCCTGAATTCGGGGAAGAAGATAGAAATCTACGCCTTGCATTAGCCACCGACGGGATGAACCCTTATGGGATGCAAAGCAGCACCCACAGCACATAGCTAGTGATTTTGTTTATATATAACCTTCCTCCATGGCTATGCATGAAACGCAAGTATTCAATGATGTCTATGATAATATCTGGGCCAAAGCAACCGGGAAATGACATAGATATATATCTAGCTCCATTAATTGAAGACTTGAAAGTATTGTGGGAGAATGGAGTTGATGTATATGATGCATATAAGGAAGAAAAATTCAAGTTGAGAGCTATGTTATTTGGCACAATTAACGACTTTCCTGCGTATGGTAATCTCTCAGGGTATAGCATTAAAGGACAACTTGGTTGTCCCATTTGTGAAGAGAGCACAGATTCCATAAGGTTGAAGCATGGAATGAAAAATTCATATATGGGACACCGTAGATGGTTGCATCGTGATCATCCTTACCGGTGATTCAAAAAATATTTTAATGGGAATTCAGAAGAAGGTAAGGCACCAACACCGTTGATTGGGGAGGATGTATTTCAAAAGGTGAAAGATATAGATTGTGAATTTGGAAAACCTTTCGCGAAGCATGTTGGGACAAGTGGGTGGAAGAAGAGGTCTATTTTCTTTATACTGTCGTATTGGATAACCCTGAATGTGAGACATTTTCTTGATGCTATGCATATTGAGAAAAACGTATGTGAAAGTCTGTTTGGCACATTACTCCATATTCCCGGGAAGACTAAAGATGGCATAAATGCCAGGCTAGACATGGTTGAAATGGGGATAAGGGAGGAATTGGCACCAGAGGATAAGGGAACTCGTACATTTCTTCGTCCGGTAGCTCACACCCTTTCTAGAAAAGAGAAAAGTAGTTTTTGTGAGTTTCTTGCTTCAGTAAAAGTGCCGGAAGGTTACTCTTCTAACATTAGTAACCTTGTGTCAATGAAGGATATGAAGTTAAAAGGTTTAAAATCTCATGACTGTCATGTCTTAATGGAAAACTTTATTCCAGTGGCAATACGGCTATTTTACCTGATAAGGTACGAGTTACGATCACAAAGTTATGTTTCTTCTTTAAGTCTCTTTGCAGCAAAGTGATTAATCCTAGTAAATTGCCAAGATTGCAAACCCGAATCATAGTTACGTTATGTGAACTTGAAATGTATTTTCCTCTGGCTTTTTTTGACATCATGGTCCATTTAACCATCCACTTAGTTAGAGAGGTCCAATTGTGTGGCCCAGTGTATTTAAGATGGATGTACCCAGTTGAGCGTTACATGAAAATATTGAAAGGGTATGTGAAAAATCGAAGTCGGCCAGAGGGTTGTATTGTAGAACGATATATTTGTGAAGAGGCTACTGAATTTTGTACCCATTACTTAAAAAATGCAAGTGATATTGGGGTTCCAATGTCTCGTCATGAGGGAAGGACAGATGGAGAAGGGATTATGGGAAAGAAAGTCGTAACTATTTCAAACCAACAGTGGGAGCAGGCACATCTATATGTATTGCACAACTCCGAAGAGATTGAGGACTATGTGCATGAGCATATTGATGAGCTAAAGAGGGATAATCCCAATAAACTTGAAAGTTGGTACACCAAAACACACAATAAACAATTTACAGCATGGTTGAGAGAGCATGTGCATGGCAAGTATAATAATGATCCTAATTCTGTTTCGAAGAAATTAAAGTTGTTGGCAGATGGACCGAGCAAACATGTGATTTCTTTCACAAGCTACCTTATGAATGGGTTCACTTTCTATACTAAACAACAAGATGATCGGAGTAAACAGCAAAATAGTGGCGTAACTCTTGTAGCTAGTACCATGCATATATCGAGTGCCAAAGATAAAAATCCTATCTATGCACGTATGTCATACTTTGGAGTGATTGAGGATATTTGGGAGTTGGATTACATTGAATTCAGAGTTCCGGTATTTGGTTGCAAATGGGTGGATAATAATAATGCATTGAGGATTGATGACTTAGGGTTTATACAATTGAATTTGAATAAAGAAGGATACAAGGAAGAGCCATTCATTTTGGCTTCTCAGGCTACGCAAGTGTTTTATGTCCCTGACCCGGCTGCCAAAGGATGGTCTATTGTTTTGTTGACTAATAAAATGGATATTGAAGAGACGGGGTATGAAGACAATGCAATTGAAGATGATCCATTTCAAGGGGCCTCACTTGATTCTCATTTAAATGAAGATCAATCCATGTATGTCAGGCATGATCACAACGACGGAATATGGATTTCAAAGAGGGGGAAAGTGTTTCGTAAGAAGATCAAAACAATTCAAACCAAGAAGAACATGCAAAAACATAAGAGTAGAAAAAGAAAAAGATCTTCTTAAACATGCATGTAAATTCTCTCATTATTTTCTTTGATTCTTTTATTTGTTTTAATTTTGTTCAAATAAATTTCGTCATTAATGACTTTATTTTCATTTAATGGATTCTGATTCATTTTGTTTACTTCAATTTCATTGCAGATGGCAGACGATAGCGGATCTAGCACTGATAACCCATCTCAGCCGAGAGATGCCTCTGAGCAGGAGAGACAGTTGCAAGAGGAGGCAGCACGCATACAGAGGGGCCTTTGTGTCATGCAAGAGGTCGTGAAAGCTCGAACAGAAGGAAAGAAATTTGCCGTACAGTGGAATAAGAAAGGACAAGCTGTACGGTCAAATAAATTTATCAGCTATATTGGGGCAGTGGCACGAAGCACCGTGCCCATTACAGCGCAGCACTGGAGGAGGGTTGATCGTTCAGTGCGAGACACTATTTGGACAGATGTATCGGTAATATATTATAACTCAAATTTTGTTTTCTTACAAGCTGCGTGACACTAATGTGTTGTTTTATATGTTTTGCAGTCTGCATTTGATATAGATGAGAGCAGGAAGAGGTTTGTGGAGGGGAAGGCTGGGAGGGCACTACGCTCTTTCCGATATTTTGTCACACACAAGTACTTGAAGGATCCTTCCACAGCCGACGAGTCCCAGGTTCCTAGCTTGATACGGGACTTGGTCAAACCAGAGGATTGGGCTGCTTTTGTGACGTCACGTCGTGATAGGCAATTTCAAGTAATAATCCTCGCTCTTTTTGATATTAAATAGTCCATTTTGTTTAATCTATATATTGTTTAATTGTGAATCTACTTTGTTTTTGCAGGAATTAAGTTCCCAAAATAAGGAAAGAGTAAAGAAGAATGAGTATCCCTACCGAAAGGGCCGCTTGGGTTATGCGGGCCTTGAGCAAGAGGTGACTCAGCAGGAGGGATCAGATGTCACTGTATCACGTCAGATGCTGTGGGCACTGGCCAGGCAAAATAAAGATGGCCAAATTGATAATCCTCGCGTTAAGGAGGTCGTGGACAGGATGGTGAGTATTATTCTAAATTAAATAATCTTCACGTTATTGTCAAATATCTTTAAGTATGAATAACTATATCAATGTTTGTTGCACAGGAGAGTTTGTCCCAGGAAGTTTCGCAGGGGGCATATTCTGCAGATGACCAGGATATATTGAGGAGGGCATTGGGGACTCCTGACCATCCTGGTCTTCTTAGGGGTGTCGGTTATGGAGTCACCAAGAGAGATTACTTTGGGTACCGACAAAAGCCCTCTTCATCGTGCACGCCTTCCTCTGCTGAGTTCATGGAGCTGAAGGAAGAAACACGCTGGTTAAAGGAGCAGGTTAAAGTTCAAGCGCTCCTAATCGAGCAGTTGATCAAGAATCAAGCACCACAGCCGGCTCCGAATCTCAGCCCAAGTGGCAAAGACAGCTGCACATTCCCCTTGCTACCTGAGGTATAATACTTGTGTTTATATAATTACATTCAATAATTTATATATCTAGCTAACTTGTCTCTCATGTTAAACAAATCAGGGTGAAGCGACGTTCAGTGTATGGCGGATAGCCCTAAACATCACACTGTTGCAACGGGCCGCATGTTCAATTTACCGGGGGAGAGTATAATTCATAATGTTCCTCTCCCTGCTGATCATGTGAGGGTGCAGTTGAACACTGCTATTGATGCGAATTATGCCCTCCCGATACCCACCCCAGATGCAGAGACAGTGGCTCAAGCAGTGGGTAGCTTTGTCGCTTGGCCTGGCCGTCTTCTTACATTAGGACATCCTTCAAAGGTATATATGTATAGGTCTACAAATTCAGCTGATTTAAAATAAACTCTATTTTAATTACTAACAGTCTGTTTGTCAGTCTAAGGGGAAGAAGAGCCTATTGGGTGATCACTCATTATCATCACCACAGAAGCAGCCCTCTGAGCCCGTTCAAGTGGTATCATCAAGATTCCGAATATGTCTTGAGGAATATGCAATTGGGGCCAGATTAGAACATGGCGAGGATTTCATGATTCCCCTAGAGTTTGAGCCAGAGGTATACGGTCGACCCTCGTCAGATTATGTCACAAATGAAGTATTGAAAGAGATTCTGACGCATGGAATGGCCAGCACAAATGCCTGTAACTTTTATATCAGGTATTTGTTAAAACCTTAACTAAATACTTAAGTACTTGAACATTTATTCTATTGATATCTTCGTTTGTTGATTTAGATATCTTTTCAAGAACTTCATAGCCCCTGGTGGCCTTGATGACAAGTTCAAGATTATCAGCCCCCACACTTTTGCTGGCCACGGACCTAATATGAAGAAAGACTTATCCAGAGACTTGTTAGATATCTTCATTTCTAGGGCAACACCGGGGGCTCAGACTTTGTTTTTGGCGCCTTATTGTCAAGGGTAAACTTTCCTAAATTCTTTCATTTTCAAAATAATTTGTAATAGTTCTAATTGTCTTTCTTATACTTAGGGGACACTGGATGCTGATTGTGGTCAATCCCACAAAGCCGAGGATTTGGTATCTTGATTCTCTTCATGGGGATCCAACCAATCGACCATTTATGGTTTCATTGTTCAACAAGTAATATTTATCTCTATTATTTAAATTTAATTTAATTTCTTGCTTCAATCAAATTTTTGACAATCATTAATATTCAATTTTATTGTCTTCTCAGGGCTTTGTGGCTATACCGCACAAATCAGGCCTTACCCTGCCCCCCGGTAAAAAACGGCCAATTTGACGATACCTTCCCGTGGAAGAAAGTGAAGGTATTCACTACCATGATTTACTATTCTACTAAATATGGTTTATTTATATGATTGACTAATATTATTTCCTTTTCCATTCTTTACAGTGCCCACGTCAGCCCAACAAGAGCTCCCATTGTGGATATTGCGTGATGAAATTTATGAAGGAGATAATTCTGCACAATGCTGACACAATTCCCACGCAGGTAATATGCATTTGTTAAGGTTCAATTTATATATTTAAGAATTATTGTACTTACTGTAGCTTTACATTTCTATCTAACTTAAGTCATAATTTGTGGTTGCATACAGTACTTTGCTGACACATATTGCACAGTGTATTCATCTGCTCAGATGAAAGAAATCGTTGAGGAGTTGGCGATGGCCTTATTCCGTCAGTGGGCACAACATAGATAGGGAAGTGTACATTAAGACAGTGTATGTACGTACAGCTAGCTTTGGTTTCAATATAATTTTGGTTTTGGTTCATTTTTGGCTGTTGGTTAGTTTTAGGCATTGCACAACTTTGGCAATTGGCTAATTTTGGAATTGGTTCACCTTTTTGTACTTGCCAGAATTTTAATATATCACAGTTGGTTTTCATTGGTTCATGTATATATATGATAATGTAAATTATTTTCGGTTCATTAACATATATGTATATGGCTGAATTGGTTTGAATGCTGGCCTGCATGATTCTGTTGAATGAGCCTTTGTTATCGGTTTCAAAATTGCAAGGGGTTGCTGGCAAAGGAGAACGAATTTTTAAAAAACGAATAATACTTGACGGTTATTAGTTAAAACCGTCAAGTATTATAACATAATTGACGGTTACTTTTAAAACCGTCAAGTATTAAATAATACTTGACGGTTTTTCAAAAATAACCGTCAAGTATGTTTATAATACTTGACGGTCACTCTATGGAACCGTCAAGTATTACAAAATACTTGACGGTTTTTGGAACCGTCAAGTATAATCTCAAAATAATTGGCGATTTTTCTCTAGTAACTGTCAAGTATGATTTAAATATTTGACGGTTAATAACCGTCAAATATTTTATGTTGAAATATATAACGCCAGTATAGTTGACGGTTTTTAACCGTCAAATATGATCCAAAATAACTGTCGAGTATTTTTCATTTTGTAGTAGTGAAATTACTACAAAAAGATGCTCCCTTTGATTTCACTGATGAGTTTAAAGCATCATTTGATGAGATTAAGTCCATATTGACTTCTCTACCTATTTTGACTTGCCCTAATTAGAATTTACCATTTGAATTGTGTTGTGATGCCTCTAACAATACAATGGATGCAGTTTTGGGACAAAAAGTTGGTAAGGCTTCTAAGGTCATTGCTTATGCTTCAAAAACATTAGATAAAGCCCAAACTAATTACACAACTACTGAGAAGGAGCTTTTCTCTATTGCTTTTGCATTGGACAAGTTTAGACCTTACCTAATTAACTCTAAAGTCACTGTTTTCACTTGTCATTCCCCTGTTAAGTACCTTTTCAGCAAGCCACAATCCAAAAACCAAGGCTCTTAAGATGGATGTTGTTAATCCAAGAATTTGATAGTGATATAAAAGACAAGCCTAGAGCAAAGAATGTGGTAGCTGACCATCTAAGTCGCCTACCTAAAACTACAAGGGGAATAATTGATTCACATTTCACCTATGATAAGTTTAAGTATTGTTCTGTTTCAGTACTGTCTCTCATAAAACCATGGTATTATCACATTGTCAACTTTTTAGTTACCGATCTAATCCCTTCTTCATTATCTCATTTCCAGATGTAAAAGATCAAGAGTGAGTCTAAACACTATATTTGGGACCCTTCAATCTTTTGGAAAGTGTGTAGTGACCAAATCATTCGAAAATGTGTGCCAAATGAAGAATTCCAAGATATCATGCATGCTTGCTGTCACACCTTACTATTATATTGACTTAGGTTCCTTTCAAAACCATTTTAAACCACATTGGATGGTCTTGGACTCACTTTTTCCCACAAAAACGCTAATTTTCTTATTTTTACTGTTCATCGGGTAAAAATCCAGTTTTTCTGGCTCAACTTAAAAAATTCATAACTTATTCCACAAAAATCCAATTAGGGTGGTTCAAAATTCTACTTAAATCTATTTAAGTCCTATTTCAAGGAAAAATAATCTCATTATCCAGTTCCTTATGAAAAAGCATCAAGTTTTTGAGAAATACAACACTGTCCATTTGCCAAAAATCCTTTTTCCAGATTCTGACCTTTAACTTTGAAAAATCATTATAAATCGTATACTGGGCCATTCTTAACGTATTAGCTATCAAATTGAAGCTCAGGACGTTATCTTCTATCATACCAAATTTCGTGACTAAAAACGTTTGGGAGCATAATCAAAAAGTCACGTGAACCAGACAGTGTCAGTGTGCTTACAGCACTGTTAGTATAATATGTACATAACCAAAATAAGTTCATGAATTTTTGTGGTTAAACCCCACAATTAGCCTTCAATCTATAGCTTTCCCTTGGAGGATTCAGGCCCAAAAATGTTAGGTTGCATTGGTGGAATGAGATTTCATTGAAATCCCAATAACAAATTAACCAACTATAACACCAACAAGCATCATCAACATGCATAATTATATTAACTACTATTGGTGAACTAGCATGCTTATCATTTGGCAAACTCAAACATGCAAAGGCCAAAGCAAGAAGTATAAAGAGCAGCCACATTATAATCAAGAAAGTCCAACCACATAATAGCAATTAATCATGCAATCATCAATAATCCTAAGTTAGTATTAGTAGCTAGGTTTAACTTGCTACCGTGCTCCAAAAGCTTTAGCTTTCTTTCCTTCTCCTCTTTTCCTTCACAAATATCAAACTCTAACAATGCAATCCATCAAAAAGGGTGGCAAGAATCATTAACCAACCAAGAAAAAGCAAGAACATAAATAAAAAATGATTCTTGATCCACAAAGCTCCCTCCTTTGTTCACTATTTTTGGACTATTTCTCTTTAACCTTAAAAATCACTTATTGATTCATTCCTACATGATTTTTCATGTAGATTCCAAATATGTACTTAGATCTAGGGAAACAAAACTGCTTCTTTTAGCTACCCTTTGACCGAACCACTAGAGGACTTGAACCAAAAATCACAACTTTGCTTTAAAGCTTCCAACACTTGTTCCTTTTGGTCTACCCTACACCATTTCTTATTTTAAGCATCATGGAAGCCTTAAAACATTACAAAACTCATCCTAGGGTTCAGTCATTAGCTTGGCCAAAAATAATACTCAAAGAAACAATCATGAAAAATGCTTTAAAACAACCTATAATCACTTGCAAACACTAGGAACTAGCTTGTGTTATTGTGTTTTAACAAGTGTGATGAGAAAAAATCCCTTCCCCTAAGTATTCAGTTTGGCCAACATTATTTAAAGAGAGGAGACAGATTTTTCAACCATAAAAAGGGAAGAAAAGAAAGCAAGACACATCTAGAACTATGAACTCACCTTAGATCTTTGCTTGTATGACCAAAGTGCTCACTTCCTCTTGCTTTTCTCTCCAAGCTCTCTCTTTTCTCTCCTCTTTCACTCTTGGCCGAAACACTCATCTGAAATGAGGGGAAGATGAGCTTGTTTAACGCTTCAAAATATCTCAACCACCATCTTTAATGATAGTTCAAGTGTCATTACCCCCTTAATCTTGATTTCTCTTTCATAATTAACAAAAATCCAAAAGAAATTAATTACTAAAGTCAAGATCCTCTCCATTTGAGGAATGACACTTGGCAAGTTCAAATCCTCTCCATCAAGAGCTTGACACATGGCTCAATATGATCTCTTTGATTTGCAAAACACTAATCTTGCTTTATCGGTGTACTTTGGCTCTGAGTTTGACTTCTTTTCTATAATTACAGTAGCTTAGCCTCTGTAATTATTTTCTATCAGATCCTTAATTTAATCTCCTCATTTTTATCTTTCCAAATTGCCCTCTTTGCCTCAAAATTAATTAAAAAGGAAGATTAATTTCCTTCTCTTTAGGGATTTTTCCACTTTTCATCATTATTTGGAAAAATCTTGGATACTTGAGGGTCTTCATTTAATTCCATAATTCCTTATAATTCCTTGGGATCTCATAGGAATTTTCTTGGAATTTTATTCCCCTTAAAATATTTATTTGGAATTTTCCAAATAAAATCCCTTAATTAGCCTAAATCACCCTTAAATTCTCTTATAAATTATCTAAGGGTAATTTGATCATAAAACCAACTTCATAATTTCATATAACTCTCAAAGGATATTATCCTCATTTTTTCTTAATTTTCCAAGGCCTGAAAATATTTTTCCTTATTTAAATGTTGACCAATTTTCCTTAATTAGTCAAATTCCTACTTTTGGCTTGGAAAATTACTGGAATTATTTGTCATCAAAATCCTCCTTATTATTTTTAATCCTCAATAATTTGGGAATATTTCTTATTTCTAATTATCATAATACTGGATGTGACACTTGCCACTCTTAAACCTGTGGAGGCCATTTTAATGCTTAAGAGACTGTAAGAAAAATATTAAAAGCTGGTTTATATTGGCTTTTACTCTTTAAAGGCTCTTATGAGTATTGTAAGAATTGTGATATTTGCCAAAGATTTGGCAGCCTAAC